GACCTGGGGTGGCCGGGCGGGGCAGCAGCGATCCGCCGGCCCACCGGGGCATCCTGTGTGCGATCCGGGGCGGGGCCCCAACCCCCTGATCGGCCCTGCCCTTTGCACGACCGGGAGCGGCGCCCCAACCCCCTGATCGGCCCTGCCCTGTGCTTGACCGGGGGCGGTGTCCCAACCCCCTGATTGGCCCTGCCCTGTGCGGGACCGGGAGTGGCGCCCCAACCCCTGTATAGACCCTGCCCTGTGTGAGACCGGGGGCGGGACCCCAACCCCCCGATCGGCCCTGCCCTGTGCGCTACCGGGGGCGGCGCCACAACCCCCTGACCGGCCCTGCCCTGTGCGCGACCCGGGGAGGCAGGGCAGGCACCTAGGGATTGGGCCTGCCATCTGCCAACCGGGGAGTGGGCCTAAGCCAGCAGGTGGTTATCTCCTGAGGGTTCCCAGACTGTGAGAGGGCACAAGTGGGCACCCCCACTCCCCGCAAGTGCAGAAATTTTGTGCACCGGGCCTCTAGTATAATAATAAAAGTATAATATGCTAATTAGACTGGACATCCTTCTGGACGTCTTTCCGGACAAAGCCTGGGCTGTGAGGGGAGCTTGGGTCCCGGGTGCCAAAAGGAAGCTGGTGCTGGCAGCCGGGGGAAGGAAGGCCTACTGTTTCACGAATTTCGTGCATTGGGCCTCTAGTAGTGTTATAAATGGTATTGTACCAGTCAATATGTTAGATACTGCAAGAAGATGCTTTTGGGGAAGAGGCTTTTTTAAAAATTATAATCCACTAGAATATTACTTCCTGAGGGCAGTGATTTTTGTCTGCTTGTTCATTGCTGTAACCCCCAGTGCCTAGGACAGTGTCTTTTATGTAATAGGGACTCAATAAGTATTTTTTGAATGAATGTATAAATGAATCATGGTTTTGTATAGAATTAGGTAAACTACATGGTAGATTTGTTCTAGATACTTTTCATTATAAATATTGATAAGAACCATGCTGTACAATTTTTATAGTGCAGTTTTGCTGGCACAGTATATTTTTCAACCTTTTTTTTTCTAGAAAAGTTTATTTTTGAAAGATTATTTTCACTGTGTATAGAATTCTCAGTATGGTAGCTTAATATCGTCATAGTGAATAAGCAGAGAGAATTTTGTTGAACACCTCATATCAAATATTATAGTAAATGCTTTATATATATTAACTTCATTTAAGTAACTTGATTAAAGCCCCTGAACTTAGTGATGATGTATTGCAGCTTCCAGATTTAAGAAATTGCTTTGAAGAATTACATGTTTTTTGTTATAGACATTAATCAGATATAACCCAATGCTTTTATAAATACTAAAAGAAATGAATCATTTAAATACACACTACCTTTAAAAATGTGGTATCACTAATTAAATAAATGTGTGGAAGGAAGCCTGACACATTTTAATCCATTTAATATTCTGCAGATAAAGGGTAGTATGTGAATCTCAAATAGGGATGAATTAATAAATACTTGAAAACAATCCACTGTGAGAAGAAATCTCAACACTAGTATATATAGTCAGAAATTATCTCATGTAGTTAATGTTGAAATATTTTTACTAATAAATTTGAGATATTTTCACTAATAAATTCTTCTACAAATAAATTAAGTAGCTTTCATATCAAAGGCTGTACATACTTTCTTCCAGATGAGGAAAATAAGACAAGTAAAGATAAATTATTTTCTCATGGTTAAAAGCTAACTTTAAGACTGTTGATCTTATGGCCTCTTAGGCCAGTGTATTTTAATCATTTAGGGGTATCTTGGCAAGATTTATGTTGACAATAATACATCCTAAAGTTTATGAATAACTTTACTTTTGAACTGTTTTCCCTACAAAAGTAACACTATCTCACTGTCAACATTCAGATTTGCTTCCTTAAGTGGGACATAAAATGCATTTGAAGCTAATGTGCTTGGATTCTATGTCATTGTCAAACTAATATATGTTATGTATCATATCCTCCACTCACTTACTTATTTATTTAAAAATATTTTTTAGTACCACTAAGTACCAAACACTGCTCTAAGTACTTGGCATACATCAGTGAACTAAATGGACAAAAGTCATGGAGTTTACATTTTTGTAGGCATGGTTCATACAATAAACATATACATAAGCAAGCATCCTATATAATAAAAGGGTAATATGCAAATTGACCCTAATGGTGTAACTACTGGTCACTATGATGTGCACTGACCACCAGGGGGCAGATGCTCAACGCAGGAGCTGCCCCCTGGTGGTTAATGCGCTCCCATAGGAGGAGCTCCGCTCAACCACAAGCTGGGCTGAAGGCTGAGAGCGCAGCAGCGGTGGCAGGAGCCTCTCCCACCTCCTCAGCAGTGCTAAGGACATCCAACTGCAGCTTAGGCCCAATCCCCTGGGGAGCTGGCCTAAGCTGGCAGGTGGACATCCCCTGAGGGCTCCTGGGCTGCCGGAGGGCGCAGGCTGGGCTAAGGGACCCCCACCCCCCAAAGTGCACAAATTTTTGTGCACTGGGTCTCTAGTTTATTATGGATAGGGAAAAATTTTATAACTGCTCTTTAAAATCATGCTAAGGAAAATTACATAGACAATGACTTGGTTTTTAACTTGATTTATTTTTGTTAATCCCATTTTTACTATAACAATAAAGTTTGGAGAAACATTCTCTCCAAAACACATAGTTAAAATGATGCTATTAATTAAGAAAGTGACCATTTTTGCTCCTACAATAATTTCTTGCTTTTTACAACTCATCTAATAGCAATAGTGCTGTGAAATAGAGTAATTTAATATTTTGGCTTTTTGATGATGGTTTATAAAAACCTAAAGTACTTTGTGTAACAAAATTTATTTTTCTGTAAATCTTTGTATTCAATTTATGTTATACTTTTGCTGGCTTTGAATATTTATGATCTTTTTTTTTGTAATTCTAGGTAAAATGTTACAGCACATCTTTTTATTATTTAAATGATTCTTGTTTGGAAAGCTCTTTATTTTCCTTTATTACAGGTATCTTCCTAAGTAAACCTTTACTATGAAGAGAAAGATATAAAAAGTTTTAATATCTTATTGGTATAGCTTGGAATTAAGTAGGGTATATTTTCAGCATATGGTATGATAGCATTTTATAGTGTTAGATATGTTGTCACAAACATTATTAATTCAAATTAATTCAATTTTAATACTTCTTTTGTTAACTTAATTAAATTCATCCCTTATCATCAGAGTGGATTCATTTTAAAAAAAATACATTTTATTGATTTTTACAGAGAGGAAGGGAGAGGGATAGAGAGTTAGAAACATCGATGAGAGAGAAACATTGATCAGCTGCCTCCTGCACACCCCCTACTGGGAATGTGCCTGCAACCAAGGTACATCCCTTGACCAGAATCAAACCTGGGACCCTTCAGTCCGCAGTCTGACGCTCTATCCACTGAGCCAAACCGTCCAGGGCTGGATTCATTTTTTAAATCTGTTTTTAACCAGGAAGCCCTGAATATCTGCATTTTTTTCTATAACATGAAAAGTAGACTGGATCTTTTACCTGGGATGTTGAATAGACTTTACTTATTCTTATGTTTTAGTGAATATATGGGGGTATGTGATTAGAGGAGCAGGGTTTTAGAAAGGATTTTGAGACAGAACAGCGAGTGGTCAATAAAGAGAGTGTTCTCAATAGACTTAAGAATAGTTATTAAAACAACACTTGAAACAGCAAGTTTTTTCTTGGATTATTGCTTTTTTACTTAGTTCTCAAACAATTCTCAGTGAATATAATTCTATTTCATTCTTTGTTTTAGCTATTGTGATCTAGTAACAATGAGGAAAATAGTGTAGGAATAAATGGGAAGGAAGTAGAATGTTTCTAGGACCTCATTTGAAGAGATTTTCTTCTCTTTAAATATTTAGTCATTTAAAATCAATTGAGATTTGAAGTTCAAAAGGAGAAAAATGGCAGCTCTGTGCTCTAATTTTCTAAGCCTCTTCTCCAACTTTTCTATCTAGTCTTTCATAATTGTTTAATTAGTGGTCAAGTTTCCATCATTATCAATCTTGTATATAGCAAATATTTATTTTCTCTCTTTTGTTTTATAAGGACCTATATGCCTGGAGATAAGACTTTTCTTATGTAGCTCTGGAAATATCAGATATATCTTTGCTTGCAAATTTTTCCTTTGGGGAGAAAATTGTTTTGTTTCCAAAGGGAATTCTAAGCCTAATCATGGAGAAATGACAAATGAAACCCATAACCAGGCTTGAGAAAGCATGTGCATTTGTAGTTTAAGATGGATAGTCACTAAGACTTAACTGATATTAGACTTCTATTGCAATTGTTGGTATTTTAAAATAAATTTGAGGAAGAAGTAATCTAGCCTAATCCATATGAACCTTTGCTGTGATGTTTGGAGTGGTTGCCAGCTTTTTAATGGCCCTGATAACCTTTGCTTGGCTAATATGTTTGTCATTTTAGAATTTATCCTAAAAGTGACAATTTGCCTGTCACCTGCAAACTTAAGTGGTAAAATGGCTGCTGAGCAGGGAGATGAAGGGAGAATGGAGTTGAGATCTTGTAGGAATGAATTCACTCATAAAGAGAACATGTTTCTTTTCGAGATAATGGAAAGATTAACTCAAATTATATAGTTGAATACATTTTGCTTAATTTGATTGATTATTCAAATATACAATCTTTTAATCTTCATATATGACCTGTTGCACAATGATATAAATAAGAAAGTAATGTGATAATGGAGCTTAGAGGACTTTCAGGCTTAGAGTTAATTTATCTGGTAGAGCCCTGATGTACATGGTTGATTTAATATGCAGACCTAAAAGCTTTTGCTTTTTACTTCTTATTATTGGCACTTAAGTTATTTGCCAGCCTGTTGGCCAGACAACACCAATGTGTTTCCTTTAACTCCATGAATCTCAGCATATGCTATTTCTATATATCCTAAATAAATACATATCTTACTCTTTCCACAGCATAGAGTCCATGAAGCACAGGACAATAAAGCTTCCTACTCATACCAGAAGACCTCTTTGAAAGATTCACCACAGCACTACCAGAGACACTAATTTGTCTGAATCATCATGTGTTGAAACAGCAGAAGGCTACTACCTTTGCACTAACAGGAAACAGTTAAGATGTTTGTGATTCTTTGAGCTCCAGAAAGCTAGGGGAGTGAGTAGAAAATCTGAAAATGCGGCCATGGACTGGTTCCTGGCGTTGGATTATGCTCATTCTTTTTGCCTGGGGGACCTTGCTGTTTTATATAGGTGGTCATTTGGTACGAGATAATGACCACCCTGATCACTCTAGCCGAGAACTGTCCAAGATTCTGGCAAAGCTTGAACGCTTAAAACAGCAAAATGAAGATCTGAGGCGAATGGCTGAATCTCTCCGGTAGGTTCTAAAAAACTAAAGGAAGAGTGATGAAATATTGTAATTTGCTTTTAGGTGCAGGGTTTCATTCAGCTATTAAAAAATACTTAATTATTTCTATAAGCTATTTTTACAAAAATTTAAATATCTTAATAAGGTACTTTTTATACCAATCTCTGTTTATTTAATATAGAGAATTTCTCAATAGTGGCTAATGAATTTTAATATAGAAAAGCTATGCCATTTAATTTATATACTTATATTTCATTTATAATTATCTTTGGAATTTTGATACATTAAATGCAAACTTTATATGATTTAAATTAGTGTATATTAAATTTTTTATCATATTTTATCATATGGACTATAACATAAACATTATCATTGAGAGGCTGAGCTACTCTATAACATTAAAATAAAGAAACAAAAAAATTTATCTTTAAATAAAATAACTGGATCTAGAATCTAGTCTATTAAAAAATGTGACGTGTATCTGTTAGAAGATAGTCCAGATGACCTTGTGCCCATGTTTGGTGATTAGTTGGGGCCATCAGCTGGTTCCCTCCCATATGGCTTATCCAGCTGGACAGCCCAGGTTTCTTACCTTAAAAAGGCAAGAGCAGGAACTGAAAGTCCTCTTGAGGCCACACATCAGAAGTTGCACACTGTCACTCTGCCGCATTTTGTTAGTCTGTGTCAGTCAAAGGGCCACTCTACACTAAGGAAATGAAGGGAGGAATTGCAGAGAATTTGTAGCCATAATTAATTCACCATTCTCATCTCCAGAAATAATGTTGGATAGATTAGATTAGGTCAAGTCATAGTGGTCCTGAACAACCAGAGTTTAGTTTAGACTTGGTTGATAGATAATAGGGAGCTATAGTGTCGCTGAGGAATGACACAGTGAAAATGTTTGTGGAAGATTTAGGTTTTCAAATGGATTTGGGGCATGTACCTGACTGGAGTGAAATTAACTGGGAGACACAATATTATTCTAGGCATGAGGTGATGCTGATCTAGATTAAATTAATTAATATATGGGCTTATTTACTCATGTTTCCTACTTTTATTTGGCTTTTTCCAGATACCTTTCTTACTTGTTAATTGCCAGGACATTAAGTATACATGCAGTAAGCTTTCTTTTTAAAATTTAGAAATCATCACGTTCTTGGCTTGCTATTCTATAGAATACCTTTTCATGCTTCATGTTTGTTTTGTCTCAATGTTTAGTAATGTGAAATTGCTATTAGTTCACAGAATCTTTGCATTTGGGGATTTGAACCTGCCACTTTGCCTCTCAGTTAGAATTGAAATTTAGGAGAAAACATCTGGAAAATTATTGAAACTTGTTCAGAAACCCCTTGAGTAGTGAACTTCAAACTGGACAGATGGCAGAACTGGACAGGATTTATAAAATATAAAGAGCACTTAATTGACAGCTTTCCTCTTAACTTAAATCCTCATTTTTCTAGATTAATTAATTTTGAGAATACCACTTTTTAAAAATTCAAATTTGACCTTATGGCCTATTAATAAGGATTTTATGTTTCTTTTGCTTTTTGTTTGGTCCAGGAAGGTAGAAGAAACTTTTTCTGGAATTTAGTTGTCAGCCCTAAACTGTAAATTTACAAACCACAAAGAATGCATAATTAAGTTATGATTACCTGTTTTTCTGAGTTATGTAGTAATCTTTCCAAATATATTAGAGCTAAAGCATGAAGCTTCTGGTGGGAAAATTTGTCCCAGGCAATAGAAATATATGGAACAGTGATATGGGCAGAAAGAAAACTGATGTGGTTTTTCACAGCTCATATGTTACTTGCTCTGTTTGAGAAGCTGGTATTAGAAAGTGGGGGAGATGTCTTTGTTTCTGTTGATTGATTGGAGAATTTGCTCTAGGCTCTCTTCTCTGTAACTGTTCATCTCTCATATATAGACTGATGAGCAAGTGAATGGATTGGAATGCATAGAACACTTGCCATCTATCTAAAACCTTTCATTATATGGTTTTATTTTTGCAACTCTGCATCCATTATTTCTTATGCTATCAAGAATATCTTGCCCCGATGTGGCTCAGTTGTTGAGTGCCTACCTATGAACCAGGAGATCATGCTTCCATTTCTGGTCAGGGCACCTGCCTGGGTTGTAGGCTCAATCCCCAGTAGGGGACGTGCAGGAGGCAGTCTATCAGTGATTCTCATCACTGATGTTTCTATCTCCCTTTCCCTTCCTCTTTGAAATGAATAAAAATATATTTTGAAACAGGATATCTTAATATTTGTGTGTTTTTTTTAGGTGATAATATTGTAGTGAGATTTTTAGTCAAGATCTCTAGCTTTCCCAGCCTGATAATTAGATGCTTTCTTCCTGGAGTTTGCATTAACGTTTTAATATATTGCTGGATTAAATTTGCCAACGTTTTATTTTGGATTTTTTCTATGTTAACAAGACATGTTTAATGTAATTTTTCCTTCTTATAATGTTGTTTGGGTTTTGCTATCAAGGTTATACAGGTTACATAGTCCAATTCTATTTTCTAAAAGGGTTTGAATAAAATTGGTATTCATTCTATTTTAAATCTTTGTTAGAATTTCATTAGTGAAACCATCTGGGCCTGTAGGTTTTTTTTGTTTGTTTTTTGTTTTTTGTTTTTTGGGGGGAGGGGGTTAAGTTTGGGTTTGGAAGGGAAAGGGAACATGTGGGAAGGTTTTAAATTCTGGAGTTGATCTTTTTAGTTGTAATTATACTATGTGGATTTTCTGTGTTTTTCTTCCATTAGTTTTTGTAAGATGTATTTTTTCAAGGAATATGCCCATTTTATCAACATTTTCAAATTAATTAGCATAAAGTTGTTCAATAATGCCTTTTAAATTTTCTTCTTATAATATCTGTAGTAATTCCCCTTTTTCATTCGTGTTTTCTCTTTTTATCTTGCTAAGAGTTTATCTATTTACATACCTTTTCAAAGAACCAATCTCTAGTTGTTTTTCTCCTTTTGTATGTCTGTTTTATTGATTTCTACTCTTAGTTTGATAATTTTCTTTCTTATAGTCTTTTTGGGTTTTATTGCTGTTCTTTTTAAAGTTTATTCAGAAAGAATTTTATATCATTGATTTAAAACCTTGCTTCTTTTTAAATACATGTCTGGAAAGTTTTAAATTTCTCTCTAATCAGAGCTTTAAGTTGCATCCCACAAGTTTGACAATGTTCTATTTTAAATGTCATTCAATTAAAAGAATTTTAAAATTTCTATTATGATTTTTTTCCTTGACCTACAGGCTATTTTGGAGTGTGTTGCTTAATTTCTAAGTGGGTTTATTCAGTTTATCTTTCTAATTTTTATTTCTATTTTGTTCTTCAACCATCTAAACTTATATTCTGTATCATTTTAGTTCTTTGAAATTTATTAAATGGCTCAGCAAAAGACACATTGGTGAATGTTTTAGGAAAAACGTATATTCTGCTGTTGTTTGGTCTGCTCTTCTGCAGACCCAACAATTAAGTTAGTTTGGTTAATTATTGTTAATATTTTCTAAATTAATATAGATTTATTTATTTCTATAATCTGCTTCTATCAGCTAATTAGAAAAGTCTCTGACAGTGGTTGTATATGCACTTCTGTAATTATTTGGTGAATGTAAATTTCAGATTATTTTATTTTCTGTGAATTGACCCTTTAATTATTATTAAGTTTTTTTATTAATTGTCATAATACTTTTTTTGGATATAAAGTTTAATATATTTGGTATAAATATTTCCATACCAGCTTTCTTTTGGTTATGGTTTGCATGGCATATTTTCCTCATTTTTTTAATTTTAACCTTCTTGTGTCCTTATATTTAAATGTAAATTTAAATATTTAAAATGTTTCTTCTAAGAATAGGGCTGGATTTTATTTTTTTGTTCAGTGATAACCTTTTCTTGTTCACTTTAATATAATTGCTACGTTTAAGTCTACCACATTGCTTTTTTTCCCCTATTGACCCATCTTTCAATTTCTTTTTAGTTTTTCTTTGTTACTTTCTTTTGCATTGATGGAATTTTTTATTGTTATTCTATTTTTTCACTTATAATAGACGTTTAGTTATACATTTTAATTTATTTTCTAAATTTATTCTTTTAATCTCATATCACAAGGCTACGAAAATTTCAGTCTGTTTTAACAGTTGCTCTCTAGCCTCCTTTGAAGCCCCAGAATTCATTAAGTGGTCCATGGAGAAAAATGGGTTTGTGTTTAGTGAGTTTGCAGTTTCCGAATTTTCACACCATCTGTGGGACCCAAGCCTGTGCTTCACATTGTGCCTGGAATCAGCAAGTGCTCCCCAAGCAAGAGCATGGCTTATTACAGACTACTGTCCTGTGGAATTTTAGTTAATATAATCATGCACTTAGATGCCTCACATGGCTTTTTTAAAAAGTTACATTTAAAAGTTTTTTGTATTGTTGTTTTTACACAAGAATAGGGTTTGCCATTACATACTACATTCTACTTGGAACTAAAAGTACTCTACCTGGATTGAAAATGGTTGAAGTTCACGTATACTGATGTTGCTGCCGTAGAGGGATTTCCATTAGTTCCTGAACCTAGATTCCTGGAGATGTTCTGATTCTTGCCCTTTCTAAGACCTGGTTCTTCCGGTTTTAGCTTTTTCTCCCATTGTACCTCCCACTCCCCCCATTCCCGCTGTCCCCAGTTGAGTGGTAAAGAAAAGGAGAAATTTAGTTGAATTGGAAGATTTTAACTGTCACCGTATTCTCTGCTTCATTGACTGATTTAGTGAATCTATTAAGAGATCAAGATGAGATTTAGATAGATTGAATTTGATGTGTTTGTTGAAACTATTCAGTAGAAAGTTGGAAAGTGAGTCTAGAACTCAGGATGAGAAGGAAAGATACTTTTGAGGATCATTCACATAGAAGTAATTGCCAGAAAATGTGTTGCATGAAGTAAAAACTCCTCCATTCATCTTAGATGATCCACAGTTATCATGGAGAGGAGTAAGTTTGAGAATAGTATTAAC